TTTGTTTCTCCCAACACGTCAAAACCCAGTACCGTAGGTGGACGAATCATTCAAACCCTTGCAGACTTCACCCCCCTACCCCCCATAGTTCAATGTTGGCCTGTTGGTGAAGCAGGTTGGCTTGAGTGGACAAATCAAATCAAACCCCTGACAACAAAACATCTTTTCACTGAGACAACATTGAAGTCGGGGGTGCGGGGGTGGTGGTCTGCTATGGTGGTTTAGGGTTTGATTAATTTGTCCATCTACTGTAGGAACAAGAAGCTATCAGGAACAAGAAACTACTAGGAACAAGTGCACCGCTACTAGTAACAAGTGCCTTACTAGTAGTAACAGTAACAAGAAGCTACGAGTAAATCAATCCAATCCAAACCAGCCCCTGAGGCCGAGGTCACGATGCGCCCCACGGGCCCCACAGCTTTTCGCAGCTTTTGCAGATGGCTCGATCAATGTGCCCCGGAAGTTGACGTGTGGACTTCGGTGGAGGCCATCGCCAATAAGAAACTACTAGTAACAGGTGCATCGCTAGTAGTAACAAGAAGCTACTAGTAACAAGTCGACATGGCACGGTTTTGTGACCATTTTTCTTATGTGGTCTCCTTCCACCAGTCTTTTGGTCTTCTCTCACCGCTTCTGCGTTGGCCACACGTTGCTTCTGTTTGGTCATTTGATGCATTCACGATGTGCAAGACAAGGTACAGGGAAAAACTCTTTCACGATTCCCAGCAGCTTTTGCTGTCGGATGCGGCTCGTGAGCTGCTGGGGGATGCTGAGAACAACGTCTTGGGCGAGGACGGGACCTTTCTCAGCCTTTTGGGTTGCTATCTCCCTGGCCTACTAGGAACAAAAGCTACTAGGAAAAAAATCACCTGATTAGGTGGCGGCCATAGCAAGTAGGTTGGAGGCCATCGCTCCTAGTAACAAGAAGCTACTAGGTGGAGACCATCGCTATTGGTTTGGAGGCCAAGTAGGTTGGAGTTGAACGAGAACAGGGCAAATGTTTTCTGGACAAGGATAGCTACCTACCAAGGACTTGAAACAAAGGCATTTAGAAACGAGAAGGTGCTCAACAGGCGGGCTGAAATTATTACCACGAACTTATAGAAAGGCCGCCATCATTGGCATACTGCGACGGTCTTGATTCCGCGGCTGGGATTCATACATTTCTTGAAGTGCCAGGAGGCCCCGCATGCCACATATGACTGCACACACAAGCACAGGGCAGGGAGTGGCTTGTGCCATAGCAGCATGCTGGTGAACAAATCGGGCATGCAAAGATAGCGAGGTCCAGTTCTGTCAAGGGCCGGGCCTTCGGTCCGATGTGGACACATCTGAGGCGCCAGGCTGCATGGGAGCGCGCACAGGACAAAAGGTCCTAGTAGCTTCTTGTTACTACTAGTAAGGCACTTGTTACTACTAGCGTGGCACTTGTTACTAGTAGCTTCCTTCTGATAGGAAAGGCGTGTTATCACAGCGAATGTCGAAAGGCGCACGCATGTGAGAGTGCACGCGTGAGTGTGCACATGAGGACACACGTGGGTCAGAGCGCAGGTTGTTTTAATCGGTTTAGCATCGCTACTAGGAACAAAGGACGCTACTAGCAGCAGGTTCAAGTGCTGCGCCACAAAATCAACACTTCGAGCTTCGCATCGCGCAGTGCCGCCGCCCTCATTCCTGCAGCGCGCCAGTGATCACCAGGTAACGGCCCAAGAAGACCCAACGTGAGAGGGGTCACCTCTGCAAGTGTTACTAGTAGCTTCTTGTTCCTAGTAGTAAGGCCAGGAGCCCCTAGTAGCGTCCTTGCTCCTAGTAGCGATGCCAGGAGCCCCTAGTAGCTTCTTGTTCCGGATCGGCTGCCGCCAGCCTGTCTGAAAAATTTTTTGGAAAGGACTTCTTCAGAGTCAAGTGTCACAAACTCAACAAAACCAGAAGGGTGACCAAGTTGCAGGCTGCCAAACAGAAAACGCTGGGTCATTGCCTAATTGGCCGCTTCCTCAAACAAAGTTTTCAGCTTTGTAATGTGCGCAGCTGCAGTGGTAGACCAGACAAGGTTTCCTTGCTCCCATGTTTTTATGCAACACCACACGTGTGCAAATTGGACAACTGGGAAGGGCACCTGGTTTGATTGCAGTATGAGCGGGGGACAGCGCTTGAGTATCCCAGACATCCTTGTTCAGAGCTTATGTTTTGCCACTCCTCTACTTTTGCGGCACTTGTAGACAACTGCAGGCTGCCATAAGCTCCACCAAAGCGGTTCCGAGAACACTAAAAGTCGTTCTTGGCAAGAATCCGGTGGCTTGAGCGAAGCTCCAGCTCTTCATGCATATCTTTGCAACTAGTAGCTAAGAAGTTACTAGGCCCAGGCCATCGCTAACAAAAAGCCTGCAAGGAGCTACTAGGAAAAACAGCTATTCCATTCGCTTCCCGGGGCCGCACTTGTGATGTCCGTGCAGTCGTGGATGCAGCAGCAGTTGGCGGTGATGCGCACCAAGCAGGCCCAAGTTGAGTGATGAGCAAGTCGGTTGACAGCGTACTGAAGGGGAGAACGGGTGTGTGTGACCACCCTGGAATCACGAGTATGTGTGGGGGGTGTTCTATTTGTGATGCGCATGGGGCCCTTTGAGCATGGCTTGATGTTGGTTCTGCCGCCGCTTTTTCATTTGTGAGTCAAGACGTCCGGCGAACCAACGCGATTTCATTTTGAGCTGCTAGCTTTCACCTTGGCCAACCTGGCTTTCCCACACGTGTTCCAGCCAGACGAGACACGCCGCATGCAGTGAAGGAGAAGGAACTCCAAGCAGTTGTAGATGTCTGTGTGACGCGCTGTGCGCCAATAACGTTCAAAGACACTTCGCTTGGTGGAAGCTGTGTGATTACAGCGCATCACATATGGCTCCAGCCGTCACAGGAAAAGGATGGTCATGAGGTGAACTGTCGTGTAAGCCAGGACATTCATGGCAGCTGCATGGTGAGTAAGTGCAAGGGGGAAATGAAGGAGGGGTAAGGCCTGCTAGGGGCACGGTTACTGCCGGTGGCAGTGGCTGGTGTAGGGCGCGGGCTATGGAGGCGTGCAGGATATCTATCATGTGGCCTGGCCTCCAGAAATTGAATGCAACTCTCCACTTCCAAAACGCGATGCGCAAGCTAATGCCGCTTTACGCAGGAGGGTGGCGCCAGCTCGGCGGATGGACGTGACTTGCTCTCACCACATGAGAAGGGCGTGAGCCTGCTCACTGAGGAGTTTGAGGTGCACCCCCTGCTGCTCAGCAAGCCGCGTCGTCACCATGTCACGCTCGCCCCTCTTCCCACACTACGTCAGTTCGGCCACGAAAGGGCCCTACACTGGTGCAGCTTTCTCAATGCCCTTCGGGCTTCATCAGATCCTGCGCCGATCGTGTTGACGCTCACAGTACATCCCGTTCTTTTGGCAGCCATGTGCCATGACCAGTGGAAGTGGAATGGTGAACAGAAGTGCATAGTCCTCATGGCCTTTTCAACTCAACAGCGGGCCCATCATAGGGGTCATTGGAGCGGGGACGCGCTTCAACCTTAGGAGGTGAAGAGCAGGGCCCTGTGCGTTTCGTTGCCGTTCGGCGGAGAAGGGGCTTAGTACTTGTATAGAGAGCACGCCGTTGGGCGTAGGCCACATATCTGGACAATATACGGCTATCCGTCACACGCGCGAGGTGGTGGGTCAATGGCCGGTCAGTTGTGGTCGGAGCCGCGGAGCGCTGTGACGCGAGGTGGATGGCGAAGTGAACGCACTTGTTCATGAGCCAAATTCCCCATGTGCTCCGCCTTCTCCCTGAACACTTTGGAAGCCTACAATGAACTTAGGTTGCTTCTTGTGGTGATTCAAATCATGGCCAGACCCAGCACTGATTTGCTCTTGTCACTTGGCCCGGCCCTTTGGCCACCAACTTGGTTTGCGCGCCGGTAATTGTGGATCGTGTTCTTCCTTTCTCGGCCTGTCCTACTAACATGTGTCTTTGGTGTAGTGCCTCCAGCTTAGACGTTCTCCTTCTTCACCTGCATCCTGGATGCTGCGCTTGTACCACGAAATTTTCGCTGTGCGCCTTGCGTTCGGAAAGAGAAGGCTGTCCTTTTACGTGTGCGCTGCAAAAATTTTCGCTGTGCGCCTTGCGTTCGGAAAGAGAAGGCTGTCCTTTTACGTGTGCACTGCACACCCGCATGTGATCCCCCAGGGCTCGTTCTACTTCAGCCGCGGCTTCTCCAGCATTATTAGGTTTGCTTTCTTTGGCTGACAGTGACTATGGCCCATTCTGGCCCTGTTCGTGACCATACCCTATGATTAGCCCATAATAGACTCCACTCGCTGTGGGTTCTCTTGTTTGTTGGTGCGACGCCTCCAATGGTGCAACTTGCCCAGAGTACCTCAAGGGAGGAACAGTCTTGCCATGAGGAGTCGCAGAGGCTTTTTTTAAATGTAGCCTTGCCTGGCAACTGCAGTCTGCGCACCTCAACAAGACTGTTCCGTGCTTCAAATATTTTCTGGACCGTCAACATCATCATCGTTGCCCGCGCGACCATGGAGCTGTCGCGGTGGGCATGGCGGCGCAATTTTTTCTGACGTGTCTACACCCGGCCTTGCGGGAGTGCTCGTGGTTGGTTGGTCGCCGAGTGAGTGTGATCCAGCCCTGGACGCTGTGCGAAGGAACGGTGGCAACCAATTTATGAAGGATGAAAGTGGCCGCGTTCGTTTTCATCGAAGTCTATCCGAGCCCGCCGCTGCCAGAACAGTTGGCCTGGTTTGCTCTCTTCTCTGGCAAGGGGTGGCAGCATCCCTGACAATGATTTGATCCATGGTTGAAGGCAAAGAGCGCTTCACGCGTAGCCAAGATTGACTGCGATCAGCAAAAGGTGGTCCGCTGCTTCAACAACTCGTGGATGCGGCCGTGCTTGAGGACTCGGGCCAGCTCTTGGACACGTCACGTTTTGTTGCCAACGTTGGCACCGTGGTGAGCAAGTTGGTGAGAAATGCCTTTGCGCGCGGCAAGATGCACAAGTGGACTTGGAAGCGGGCGTCGGCCCTGCAACCCGATGGTGAAGGGAACTTTGAGCGCAATTCCCTGCCGAGTTTGCAATCTGATATGCTCTTGCAGGAGGTTTTCGGCAACAGAAAAAGCGGGTTCATGTGGGGAAGGGGCCTAGAAAGGTGTTTCGAATTTTTGGTGCGGGGTTTCCTAAACCATCGGTTAGTTCATCAACATTTTTTCTTACTCACTTCTGTTGTGTGCTTGGCCTTGTGCTTGACCATCCCCATGCCCAGGTTGGCAGCCTTACTTCCCGAGCGAGCCTGGGTGATAAAAAACTATCTGGGCGTGCGTTAAAGTGATTCACACGTGGAACTAGTGACCGGTGAAGGGACAGGGGCCGAAAAAGACGTATTCCGATCATCTTCTGCCGTGCCCCACCAGCCGTCCAACAATTTCATGTTATATGTGCCATATTTTGTGTTGTTTTGGCTGCGCCCTTTTCCTCAGGAAGCGGGAGCTAGAGTCACCCAAGTTCATCCGGGCGTTGCAGAGCCTGTTTGACTTGACGACACGACAGGTCAGGGGACGAAACATTTTCGAAGATGGTTGCAGTTCAAACCTGCTTTTGAGTATGCTCAGTATGCTGTATAAAGGGGTGCCTAAGGGGCAGTGGACTTGACGCATCCCTTAGGTGATTACCAGGGACAGGCAAGGGAAACTCCCGTGTGAAACCCAGAGCGAAAGCTTGCAACGCTTGATGACGGAAGTTCAAGAGAGATGTTGAAAAAACAGGGGACAAATTCCAAAATTGAAAAAACAAGAATGGGCTGTGCAACAGTTTGCTTCGCTGAGGACCAGGCTCAAGGCTGGGAGTTGAGAACTTTTGGTATGAACATTGAATTCAATCTGAGTGTTTAAGTTTTAGGTCTTTAGTTTGATTCAACCTTCTGAGTGTTTAGGTCTTTTGTTCCTTGATTTTTCGTTGTCGTCATTTTATTGTGGTGCGTCTCGGGATGAAATAATCAACGCCGCATGTTTTGGTGGAGGTTGTTCTCCGTTGTCCTTAATTTGGATGTCAGTGTTCTGGATTTCTTGCAGGCAGGCGTTGAAAACATGTTTTTATCCAACCGTTGTACATTTTTCGGAATCGTTCCATGTAGGACATATAGGCGGCAAAGGATGCAGAGGTTTCTCAAACAACAATCTGAAAAACATTTGTTTTTTTGGGGGCAAGGTTCTGCAATGCTCTTTGCCGTTGCTTTCTTCTTTCGTCTTTTGCTCTGGACCCCAGATTCTGCATTGTCTAAATCAGGATGGATCACCAGGCTCCTGGACAGAAACCAAGAGAAAGACAGCTATAGATACAATCCATGCGCATGAGATTTGTCGACTCCAATTTTATGGAACGTCACAAGGTATTTTTGTTTTACTTTGGCCAAAGGCATCATTTTCTGCAATTTTCTCATTGGACAAAGGTCACACTTCGATATATAATTTCCAGTACTGAGATCTCCAAACAAGAACAATGTGCAACCGTGGTACCTTTGAATATTAAAAATATTGACTTTGATGTCAGACCTCTGAATTTTATCAATTCCCGATACTGAGGTTTTTTGCGCTTCTTGAAGTGTGTTTTAGATTCAGAGCATGAATTTTATCATGATCTAGTGGGAATAAGGGCGGGGCTTAAGTATCCAAGCACAGACCCTAGCTTGTAGGTCTCAGTGCAACCATACTGCTACGCGAGTTTTGGAGAACCGACTTCGCTACGTGTCACCGCCCAGTTTTGCTGAACCGACTTAGTGATTCACTAGCTTCTTGTTTCTAATAGCTTCTTGTTACTACTAGTAAGGCCCTTGCTTCTAGTAGCGGTGCACTTGCTCCTAGTAGCTAATTGTTTTTGCTTTGAAAGCATGAACCGAACCTCTCTACTGTTTATTTGTGATTGTGAATGTGAGGGCGATCGTGAAGGTCCCCTGGTGTAGCTTCTTAGCCAGTAGAGCCGCCCCCCCGACCGAGATAGGTTGACCGTCTTTTTAGGAGGGCAGTTAGGTTGAGTAACAAGAAGCTAGTAGTAACAAGTGCATCGCTTCTAGTAACAAGTGCCTTACTAGTAGTAACTAAGAAGCTAGTAGGTGATGTTTTGTTATTTTATCGCTTCTCCGTCAAGGTGGTCAAAGCCAAGAGGTCGGTGAATCTGGACGCTTATCGGGTCGCTTGGTGCAGAGTTCGTCCGACGTTCGTTTCGGGTGTGATGCGATCGGAAAGAATGAGTACGTCAGTAGGTTGGAGGCCATCGCTTCTAGAAGCAAGGACGCTACGAACGGGGCTTCAAGAAGCTATTAGAAACAAGAAGCTAGTAGTAACAAGTGCCACGCTACTAGTAACAGGTGCCTTACTAGTAGAAACAGCGTGTTGGACGGATTCTTGCTTTCTGCTTCGAGGCTTACTTCGCACGCCGCACGGAGATTGAAACCTCCATGGCACGCCATCCACCTGGAGTCCGATTGGATGATTGTCTGACGACAGGTGCGAAAGCTTGGAAGATGAAAGAGAGAGCTCAAAAGGTGTAAGGTCAAAACGGAAAGACAAAAAGAAGTCAAAGCTCTAAAGCACAAAAGAGAAAGAGATACGTAGAGAGAGAGAGAGAGAGGGAGAGGGAGGGAGGGAGTGAGTGAGTGAGTGAGTGAGAATGAGCATTGGTTCACTGAATCCCTCTAAGCTGCCTGGGTCTTTCAGAGGGCCAAGCTGTGCCAGCCTCTTCCACTCAGCGGAATACGCCCAAAGATCAACGTGCCAGTGGGGTTAGCGGGGCTTGCCTGTCTGCGAAATATGGTCCCCGACCATATTCCATAGCGATGTTCACCTGAGCCTCCAACCTACTTGCGTCCTTGCTCCTAATAGCGATGCCCTTTGTTACTAGCGTTCTTGTTACTACTAGTAAGGCACCTGTTACTACTAGCGTGGCACCTGTTACTAGTAGCGTGGCACTTGTTACTAGTAAGGCCAGGAGCCCCGTTCGTAGCGTCCTCTTGCTCCTAGCGGTCCTAGCCCGTCTCCGACCGGTCTTCGGGCTTCCGACACAAGGCCCCTCCGGCTGCTACCTCACGAAGGAGCTTCGGGCTCTTCAAGGCCAGTGTGACGGATGTGAGACTGACATGAAGCTTTGCCACTTGGATTTCCTGTTTGCTTCTCCGCATTTGGTGTATAATTTATATACATCTACTGTATGTGATTCTATATGTATTTCCCCGTTGCATTTTTTTTCAGTTTTTTGTTTGTCGCGTGTTTATTTTTTTTTGGTTTCAGTCTTTTTACACGTGTTGTTGTTTTGCAATTTGCATCATCCCTGCCGTTGCCGCATGGTTCGTTTGTTGCCGATTCTCTGCTTTGCTCTGTGCTTTCCTCTGTCATTTTGCATTGCCCTACTTGTTTGAGAATGCAAGCTAGAGCAGCTAGAGCAAGCCAGAGAACAAGTGAGCAAGCAAGCAGAATGCAAGCACGGTCAGCGGAGGAGAAAGGCAAAGAAGGAACAAGAATCGGAGTTGTGCCCTTCCCAACCCTCAGCGAAGCCAAGCACAACGGACAGAGTTGAAGTGCGGAAGGGAGAGAAAGGAAGAAGAAACGCCATTGCTAGTTGGAGACCATCGCTAGTAGGTGGGAGGCCATCGCTAGTTGGTTGGAGGCCATCACTAGGCCATCGCTTGTAGGTTGGAGGCCATCGCTTGTAGGTTGGAGGCCATTGCTAGTTGGAGGCCATCGCTAGTAGGTGGG